TCTATGATAAGTAACCTGTAACTGTATAGTCAGAGGTACAAATGGCCATAGTTTTTTCTTTTTTAAACCATAATTAGTTTCTTCATGAAATACTCAAAATTAGATATTCCTTTTTTTTTTTTTTCTGGTGGTTCAACCGTCTAGTTTCAGAAAGTTATGGGATTGGATGTACACTTAAAAAAATGTTAAACAGGGGCCAATGCTGTGGTGTAGTGGGTAAAGCCGATGCTTGCAGTGTCGGCATCCCATATGAGCATTGGTTCAAGTCCTTCCAATCCAGCTCTCTACTATGGCCTGGGAAAGCAGTAGAGGATGGCCCAGGTCTTTGGGCCCCTGCACCCACGTGGGAGACCTGGAGGAAGCTCCTGGTTTCTGATCGGCGCAGCTCTAGCCATTGTAGCCAATTGGAGAGGGAAGCAGCAGATAGAAGACCTTTCTCTCTCTCTGACTCTCCCTCTGTCTCTGTGTAACTCTGATTTTTTTAAATATTTATTTATTTATTTGAAAGAGTTACACTGAGAGGAAAGGCAGAGGGAGGAAGGGAGGGATGGACGGAGAGGAGGGGTCTTCCATCTGCTGGTTCACTCCCCAATTGGCTGCAACAGCTGGAGCTGTGCCGATCCGGAGCCAGGAGCTTTTCAGGGTCTCCCACATGGGTGCAGGGGCCCAAGGACTTGGGCCATCTTCTACTGCTTTCCCAGGCCATAGTAGAGAGTTGGATCGGAAGTGGAGCAGCAGAGTCTCGAACCGGCGCCTGTATGGGGTGCCAGCACTGCAGGCCAGGGCATTAACCTGCTGTGCCACAGCGCCGGCCCCCTAACTCTGACTTTCAGATAAACAAATCTTTAAAAAAATTAAACAGTACAAGTTAGAGATAAAATTAGAGACGAGACCATAACCGTGATTACCACTTGGAGTAGATTAATTATTAAAGTTGATACCAAACTGAACTTACTAACAACGAAAGTCTGCTTCCATGCTTTTTTATTTTATTTTATTTTATTTATTTTTTATTTTTTGACAGGCAGAGTGGACAGTGAGAGAGAGAGACAGAGAGAAAGGTCTTCCTTTGCTGTTGGTTCACCCTCCAATGGCCGCCGCGGCCGGCGCGCTGCAGCCGGCGCACCGCGCTGATCCGATGGCAGGAGCCAGGTACTTATCCTGGTCTCCCATGGGGTGCAGGGCCCAAGCACTTGGGCCATCCTCCACTGCACTCCCTGGCCACAGCAGAGAGCTGGCCTGGAAGAGGGGCAACCGGGACAGAATCCGGCGCCCCAACCGGGACTAGAACCCGGGGTGCCAGCGCTGCTAGGCGGAGGATTAGCCTAGTGAGCCGCGGCGCCGGCTTGCTTCCATGCTTTATATGTATGGCAGAATAGTACAGAAAATATTGATTTTCGTGTCAGGAAAATGTCATTAGAATTGAACTTAAAGAATTTTTCCACATGAATTCTTGTCTAGAAGATACTAAGTAGCAGACGTTATTGACTATTTTATAAGAAGCAGAAATGCTCTTTAGTATATAGACTTCATTAATACCTAAAGCTTCAACCTACTATCGGTGAAGATATTTTCTGGTTGGTGGGTATGGCCAAGTTATGTTACTTTTCATTTATCAAGCAACTTGCTTAATGTCCTCTCTTAGGCATCTTATGCCAAATACCAGTGATTAACAGCAAAAAAAAAAACTTATGTACTTAATCCAGTGGGGACTTTAGATTGACAAACAGATTACTAGGTGCAGTCTGCCTGCTGCTGAAGTGGGTGAGGTGGTTTCGGAGCCCAGTGTGTGCAGAGGGGGGTGTCTCAGAGTAGTTGGGGAGGTATTACTGATAAATGATATTTTGCCGACTTAGGATGCTTGCCAGAAAGAATACTTACAGAAAGAATTGTCTTACAGAAAAAATACCTACAGAAAGAATACTCTTGGATGATCTAATATATTTTAGCTAGGAACTTGTACAATCCAGAAAATCATTAACATCCACTAAACTTTTCAACTCAAATATCGTATGTCTTTTGCACCTTTGGCACATACTACTGCAACATGATGATTAGATTTGCTCACGTGCCTACAGTGATGAAATTCTGGTACATGGTCAAAACCCAGTTCATACTGGATGGATCAATGGGTGAAAGGAACCAATGGAGACTCCCAGGTCACTGATAACACTGAGTGCAGGTGAGGATGAGTTGTGACTATGTTAGAAGAATTTGGAAATTGCTGGACATTTCCAACCAAATTGGAAAACAATCCATTTTTATACACACGGCAAAGGAACCTAGAGTTAGAGCCAACATTTTCCTGAGAAAATACACTGGGCTCTTTAAGAATTACCTACACAAACATTGAGGTTGGACTCTGTATTCCTGCTCTATGTAGCACCAGAGGAATGAGTTCACTCTGCAGAAGTTTAAGACTAGTTATTACCAGCTAATCACAACATCCCTGCACTTCAGCGAGGCCTCTGTGGAGGGACTGATTTTTAAATACAGCTCTGTCCTATGGCCATATAGAGTTGTTAAGCTGTGCAAAATGTGCCTGAGCACCTTAGGGGATTGACCCGTGCATGGGGTTACTTAAGTTGCTTGGGTGAATAATTACCAAGTGTGTGTTTAGTTTTGGTGTATTGGTGTTGAGGTATTTCTCTGACACTAATTGGTTACCAGCCTCAAAAAGACTTTTAAAAGAATCCTCTTGTTCAGAGAGATGCAGACCTTTCTTATCCTGTATCAGATTCCCCGCTTGACTGTTTTCTTGGTTGGCTTAGAGCCATCTCCGACCCCATCACAGCCATTTAGAAACCTCAGAGTTCGCCTTGAGCACCTGACAGGCTACGTTTAGGTCCTGTTGTTCTTGTAAAGCTGTGCAGTCTTGAGCAAGTTAACTAAGTCCTCCCAGGTCTGTTTCTATGTATATTAAGTGAGGAGGAGTATATTATATCATGTGTTATGTGCAAGATCAAGCTAGATGACACATGCAAAGTGCCTAATGCAATGTTTGGCATATTGGAGGAGTTCAGGCATTCTTATTTCTTTTCTATCTTAAGAGATTAATAAAGACTCGGAGGGAAAAAACTCATTAAATTTGTCTTGTATTCCTATTTTTCTTAATGCATAATCAGGGGCATTCACATGAGCATCCAAATGTTCATCTCTAAGTTATAAACAGTGATGAACTTGTTATTTTACAGTAAATAACATTGGCCTCCATGGAATTCTGCTTTGTCCTAGTTGTTGTTTAATGGTGTTAAAATGTGATATGTAGTACAGAGAAGTAGACATTTTCTATTTTAATTCAAGGTGATATTCCATGGAGATAGACCATATGAAAACATTTTTTCCCTTTTAGAAGTTTGTTTATTTATCTAAGAAGCCTTGACAGTGCCATTGAAAACTCAAGTCCAAAGCTTTTCAAGTTATATTGTCAGTTTTGGGGTTAAAGATTGATTTTTTTATTTGACAGGCAGTGTTACAAAGAAGAAGATGCAGAGAAAGAGAGACAGACAGACAGACAGACATAGAGAGAGAGAGAGAGAGAGAGAGAGAGACAGAGAGACAGAGAGATCTTCCATTTGCTGGTTCACTCCCCAAATGGCTGCAATGGCCAGAGCTGCGCGGGTCGGAAGCCAGGAGCCAGGAGCTTCTTCTGGGTCTCCCACACGGGTGCAGGGGCCCAGCCACTTGGGCCATCTTCCACTGCTTTCTCAGGCTGTAGCAGAGAGCTGGATTGGAAAAGGAACAGCCAAGACTCGATCCAGCACCCTTATGGATGCTGGCATGGCAGGCAGAAGCTTAGCCCAGTAGGCCACAGCTCCAGCTTTGGAATTATTTTTCTTTAAGAAAGAAAAGACCTTTTCTTTAAGACCTTTCTTTCTGGAACTCTTCTCAATCTGTCACATTTTATCATCGAAGATATCACATTAGATCGAAGTCAAATATCTTTAAAAATGTGTATGATTGCTCTTGAGAGATTACATTCACAACACATGAATGAGCTGGAGCATATCCGTGAGTAACACTGCAGAAGGTGTGCTGTGTTAAGAGGGTGGTTTATGAGTGCTTGCGTCTAAACACCTTGTTCAGCTTCTGATTAATTTCTCATTGCAAGCTCAATTTTATAAACTAGTATAGCTAAGATGAGAATTATGCTTGCTAATATTAGCATGTATCTTGAAGGAATGCTCTCATTTTGTAAACAACAAATTGCACCATTGTCTTCTTTTAATATATTCTTTTCCTCATGGTTATTTATCAAAGCCAGTGAAGTTGGTGGTATCTGTCAGTGGTTTTGGTCACTGAGTTTTCTTTGCATGTTGCTATTATGTGTCTGGTGGGGACTAAAGTGCTTTAAGAAGAAATAGCAACAATCCAGTTTTTTATTTTTAAAATTTCATTTGTTTGAAAAAATGACAGGGAGAGATACATCCATCCACTGGTTTGCTCCCCAAACTCCTGCATCAGGCAGGCTGGGCCAGGCTGAAGCCAAGAGTCAGGAGCTCTCTCCAGGTCTCTCAATAGAGTTGCAGGGATCCAAGCACTTGAGCCATCATCTGCTGCCTCCCATCCCAGGGTGTGCATTAGCAGGAAGCAGAAGCAGGACTTGACCCTAGGTGCTCTGATACAACTTATGGGTGTCCCAAGGTGCAGCTTAACCTACTACACCACAATGCCTGGGGCAATCCTTTGTAATCAACCACAGAAAGTGAGCCCACTGTTAAATGAAGGGCAAAGTCATCACCGTCTCTGTGAAAATGCATGTCTGATTACTCAACACAGATGATTTCATATGTCCCAGCATAGAACTCCCCATTTCCCTCCTCTCCTTCAATCACTTTGGTACTTCAGTGACTTCTGCAGGGTGTTCTGGTTTAATCACATACTAGTAATTGAAAAGTAAATCATAAAAGAACCACAGTAGTATTGTGTTACTTTGCCTTTGATTAGCTATTGGCAGCCTGTTGTGGAATGTGACTGAGCTTCTCTCTCTTTTTTTGTAGAATGCCATGAACCTACCTCCTGACAAAGCCAGGTTACTGCGGCAGTATGACAATGAGAAAAAATGGGAACTGATTTGTGATCAGGTAAGAAACAGCGATCTTTCCATCCAGGAAGTAAAGAAGAGAACCAGATTTCTCGCGCGTATAAATGGCTTGGGCTCTTTTTCTGAATGTTGCATAGATTTCTGCTGTGTGACACTGCCTTCCTGTTTCTTACCATCAAAGGAAGAACTAGAAAATGACTTGTTTTATTCTTGGATTATTATAATTTTCTCCTTTATTTTCAAACATGTTACAGTTAGATTTTCTGGGAAAATCTGCTTAAGTGGCCAAACCAAATTCAAATGATCTGTTTCTCTTCCTACCTTTTATAGTAGTTTATGCTGCTTGAGTAATGCAGGTCTTCAGATCTAAACTGATGTATATTCATGCCGGATGATGAATTGTTTATAAAGAAATGTCATTTAGGCCAATAAAATCATTTTGGATTTTAACACCTCGCTACATGTTTGGTTTATCATTAACTCATGATAACAAATTCCAACTCTTCAGAGGGATGTAAAATAAAAGGCAGAATTCTCCATTTGCTTTGTCTCTACCCTCCAAGTTCTACATTTTCCAGGTCCACTGGGAAGACTTTGCAAGTGTACCCTCGAAAGTGGTTGGAGGGATTGCTAGAGAACCCCCAAAGCGGGTCTACTCAGCCAATGTGCAGCAAGTCAATTATTGATGCAGAGGGGTAGAAGAAAGTAGGTATTGACTGCACAGTGCAGAGCAAGGAGCCCAGCCACCCTCACGTAATGCCTGGACTTCCTGAGGGGTTCGTGGTAAGGCATGCAGTTGAGCTGGGTATGAAGGGTATGTGTTCAACACACATCCAGATCTCTGGCTGGCCTGTGGTGCTCAAGGCCCTTCTTCTAGTGGTTGGCGATACTGTGTTTTGGGGGGTGGCAGATTCTGATGGTGGCCAGCTGGGCTGTTTGCAAGTAGTGCTGTTTTTGTATGAGGCCTGTGGTTTCTGGAAAAGACACCTCTCAAGACAAGCCTCAACATCAAGGTGTCATCTGTAAGGGAGATCAGTGGCCTCATGGGTCTGTGTTCAGGGACACTGTAGGGCCAGCTGGCTGCCCCACTCCCTCAACGCAATGAGCTCATTTTAGTGAGAGGTTGATTTGCACTCATATAGCAGGGCAAGGAAACCTTGAGCTAAGGGGTGGAGGCTGGGAGACTGCAGGAGACAGGACTTGATGGCATCTAGTTATACCCAAGACACTGGATAGAGGCTTACTCTCAAGGCTGAATTACCTCCTTCTAGGTTTTCTTTTCCTGTTTCTGTTTTGAAAAAAACAAGCAAATTAAATGATAATGCACTCACTCATACCTTTCTGTGTCGTGATAAGTTCAGCAGTATTGGAGTATATGTCACTACCTCATTCTTCTAAGTGGTGTGTGCTGTTCCACTGTGCTCAGTGATGATCTCCTGCACCTGGGTGCAGGGCTAGGGGCCTGGTGCCTGCCGAGTGTTGTAATACTCCAAGGGTCTCTGTCCTCAGTAGGGAGTAAGCCTCCATTGGCTCTTTTAGTTTGTGCCATGAGCTTCATGGTGGCTGAGTGAACCCTTCACCAACTTCATGGCACCCTGAACATTTGGGGAGGAGTTTGTAATCCTTCCAGCACAGCTTCCTTGGGTCTTCACTGTCGGGGGAGCCGATAAGATGTTTTGCTGCTCATGGGGAGGGTCCCTGTTCCCTAAGCAATAGGTGCCTCTACTTCACACGAGCCTCTGAAGCACTCCCCCGTGTTGCAGTCCCTTAGTTCCTGAATTACAATAGTAGTGGAATGATGCTAATCACCTTAGTTTTTCCATGCTGTGTGTGTGCGTGCATGCAACCCCTAGGTAGATGGAACCAAAGAGGAGGTTACTGGTTATGTGACTACGATGAGAAAGAAAAAAAAAAAAGCTACTGACATTTAGTTCCTTTCTTGAGACTTTCTTTTTAATGAGTGTTAGCTAAAGCTGCTGTTCTAAGGGAAATGATTTTATAATGATAGTGAAAAAAATAATAGGGTAATTAATAAAGACAGGCCATCACCCAGATGGGGGAGGGTCCAAGGTGGGTGGAAAAATTCGCAGGTATGACAGATTATGAGAGAAGAGACCTCATGGGCAAAGGGAGATTGGTACTGTCCCCAGGTGGTCATGTGTGAGGACTGTGAGGGGCTAAACTTTCCTTCCTTCGTCAGACCACAAGATTCACAAGAAGCCCCCTCCTTTCTGGCTTTGTTGTAGGTTTGTTTGTTTGTTTAAAGATTGCTTGGTTAATTTGAAAGAGTTACAGAGAGAGATTTTACATCTATTGGTTCATTCCCCAATGGCCACAACAGCCAGGACTGGGCTGGTCTGAATCCAGGAGCCTGGAACTCCATCTAGGACTCCCATGTGGCTGGCAAGGTTATCTTCTGCTGCTTTCTCAGGTACAGTAGCAGGGAACTAAAGCAGAAGTGGAGCAGGCCAGGACTTGAACTGGAGCTCATATGAGATTCTGGCATCGCAGTCTTTGGCTTAACTCACAGCACCACAACACCGGCCTCATAATTTTCGCATGTCAAATACACCAGAAAGGGAAGACTGCTAATGAGGGGCAGTCACTAACAAGTACACTCTTCTGTCAGTCCTCAAACAGCTTTATACGCCTGAAATTAGGGCCTGGGGCATCTTGGGACTGAGAGAGGAGCAAATCAAATATCAACTTGGGTCTCTTTTTAATTATTAAAGATTTTATTTATTTTGAAAGCCAGAGTTAGGGAGAGAGGGAAAAAGAGAGGGAGGGGTTGGCGGGGAAAGAGAGAGAGACATTATCTTCCATCTGTTGATTTATTCCCTAGATGTCTGCAATGGTCTAGGCTGAGCCAGCCTGAAGCCAGGAGCCAGGACCTTCATCTGGGTCACCCACGTGGTGCAGGGGCCCAAGCTCTTGGTCCATCTTCTTCTGCTTTCCCCAGGCCATTAACATGGAGCCGTGTTGGAAGTGGAGCAGCCGAGACTTTCTGGTCTTCACTTGCTCCAAGTTCAGGTTGTTACTGCCCTTATGGGTCACTCTTCCAGCACGTGGGAAATGTAGAGATGCTCCCTGTGCTCCTGTCTGGCAGGTGCTTCTGCATTGTTTAGAAGCTCCACGCTGAAGGGACTGTACAAGTTTCAAGGTACCATGATGATTGGTTAATGTTAGAGAATAACGATGATCATTGCTGTTGAGCTGGTGTTAAGTAAGCAGTTTAGCTTAATAGCATTGTGGTTACTCTGCAAAGCAGTCATATTTAGTGGTTTCTCCATTTGACAAAGGGCAAACTGAGACTTGGAGATAAAGTTGTTTTGCAGAGGGTGTGTGTATTGGGTGCTTGAGTGGCCTGTGTGTTCTGATCCTGGAGAAGGTGCAGGTTTTGAAGTCTCTACTCTTAACCAAAACCCTCTGCTATCTTCCCCATCACTTGCCATGAGTGAGAGATAGTATAGGCTATTTTTATACTTGCATTCTGGTATGCTTCTAGAGAAAGTGGGGCATTGTAGGTCAGGCACTGAGCCTAACCCATGCACGTGACTACCGTGATGACCTACCATTGTTGGTTAACCACCAGTCAATGTGAAAACTGTGGGCAGCAGACAATTGAACCTTTTGCAATCTATGAGTAACACAGGAAGAGTGTGACACACATGAATACTATTTGTCCTATATGTTTGTGAGGGAAAAGACGAAAATCATGAATTGAAAGCATTTTTGAGGTGCCATTCACAGCAACTATAATATATTGATATTTATTGACTAAATGTTTATCTTAACTGTTAAATACTTAAGCCATGTCATATATTTCTTTGGTAACCTAGATGTATCTGTGCCCACTACAACCAGGAGTGGACCAGGGATTCAGTCCCAAGTCTCCCAAATGAGTAGTGGGGACCCAAGTACTTGAGCCAACACCTGCTGCCTGTAAAGGTGCCCACTGGCAGGAAGCTAGGATAGGAAAGGGATCTGGACTTGAACCCAGATGCTCCGTGATGGGATATACTATGTCTGGCCCAAAAGAAATTTATTTGTAAAAGGAAGTACTGTATGTGCATATCACTGTTGGAGAACTTATGAAGAAGTGATTTCAGGTTTTATTTCCTTGAAAAATTATCATCTGGACACTATGACTCATGGAGCTGATCACATTTCTCCATTTGTCCTCAGCTACAGAATTCTCAGAGCCAATTTTGTGGCTTACCCTAACCAACTATATAATGTCTTAATAATAGGTATTTTGTTTCCCAATCTCATTTATGTTTCAGCTAATTTTTCCTGCCCACATTTTGCCTTCACACTGATTTCATTACTTATCTAAAGTCTAGTAGGTATATAGTTGTAAGCTTGGCTAAGTCATCTTGTTAACAAAATAAAAATAAAACAATGTAACAGCATTACAGGTGAACAAAGGTGGTACTGGCATTGAAAACTGAACTTGACCTTTCTCCATGCTGGAGGCACTGTGCAAATCCTTCACTGAATTTTTTGTACTTTTCTCTGAGAAAGTAAATGTGGAGTGACTTGGAATGCTCTCTTGAGTTAGATACAGTTCATCATTTATTGTGGGTACCAACTTTTCATTCTCGGATATGGTTGCTTTAGTCTGTCACTCTGTTTAAGTATTTATTTATGTATATTGTCCTCAAGAGTGAATTCCTGGAGCCTATGTTGTGGCATAGTGGGTAAATACGCCGCCTGCAATGCTGGCATCCCATGTGAGTGCTGGTTTTCAAGTCCTAGCTGCTCCATTTCTGATCCAGCTCCCTGCAATGGATTGGGACAAGCAGCAGAAGATAGTCCAAGTGGTTGGGCCCCTGCACCCACTTGGAAGACCTGGAAAAAGCTCCTGGCTTTGACTTGGTCCTGTGCTGGCTGTTGTGGCCATCTGGGGAGGGAATCAACTGATAGAAGATTTCCCTTTCTGTCTTTCACACACACACACACACACACACACACACACTCTCTCTCTCTCTCTCTCTCTCTCTCTTTTTCTCTGACTTTCAAATAAATAAATATTGGGGA